AATTAATTATTTGACAACAAAGTAGAGAACAAAGTTGAAGACAGACATATACCAGCGTTCATTCACATGTAAATTACTGGAAAGTTCAAAATATATACAACTTGTGTGGTCTACAATAAAGGGTGTATTAGAGTGAGTTAGCTCTCACTTACATATGATGGAATTATATGTTAAACAATAAGACCACAACAAAAATATTATGTACAAAAATAATCTCACAGTTCAATTAAATCATGTAAAATATTCCATCATTAAAACTAATTTATAATGTAAATAAAAAAACACTTGCACTGGCAGGTAAAAAATAACTTTTAAATAAAATCCCTTTTTATATGAATATAAAACAATTTAGTTGAAATATAAAACAGTCCCACTTTTAAAAGGGGGTTCTCTTTGGTGGCTTGGCAGACTCAATTGGGCACCTTACATGTACATGTAGCCATTTAACCTAACATGGCTGTTAAAACATTGCCTGTTTTTTTCCTGTTCATTTTGGCATGTCTGTGCAGGTTTCCAGCAGGCAATATTTTAATGGAAATATGACACACCATGAAAACATCTCTTTCTACCATTATCAGATTATTTTTTTCTAAATATAGAGTACATTTAATTTACTATTACCAATAAAGTGCAATTATTATAAGTAACAACATATGCACAGAGACCTGTGATAAGTGCATTGTACTGTAAACAATGCACTGCTTGTCAATACATACATACATCAAGTATATTGATATTTAAGACCAAGAAAAGACAGGTGTCTTGTTTACATCACTAAATGTACATGCATGTACAAATAAAAGTACAAGTAAGTGATTGCACACAATACAAGAGAATGAAGTGAAATAGAGTCACAGCAAATGAAGTGTCCATACTGATACATAGCAATTAACATATTACACATTCTAGGATAAGTCTTTTATAATCCTAGCTGATAAATAAGACCAATTGAAGAAAAGCGTTCAGTTTGCATACTAAGATGAAACAAATGGAGCAGTTATCAGGTATGATAAATCAGAATATATGTGGATTATTTCCTGTTATTTACAGCTTGGCATTGTAAGTATATATTGCACATACAGTGTAGAAACTATCCTGTTGCAATACAAGTGTCAACTTTAGTTCTAGTCTCTTTATGTTGGACATAACACTGCAAGAAAGACAATAACAGAAAATTAGCATAACACAACCTAAGACAAGGTGCTTTGAAAGAGAAACTCAAAATAAACCACAAAAATAGGGAAATGTGATAGCAAATGTTATTAATTAAGATTTTAAAACAAGTTTTGACAAAAAAACAATTGATGGCAACAGAAAATCAGAAGCAGCTGCCTGTCTGTTAGTCTTCCAGAAGACAGATAGAGGATTCTGGGAAAAAGTCATAATTCTTTACTCTGAGGCAAAAAGACTTGCTTAGTGTGGATAGATTGCTAAATATATTTACCTTTGAGTATGTAGTCTGTTAGCAAACCAGGTACTTGAGAACTATCATCATCCATGGCTCTCAAAACTAAAAAAAATACCAGTAAAGAAGGTGTTTCTAATAACTGCCACAGTTCAAGTTCATACATGTATAAACAATAAAGTCATCAGGGATGGCAGATGCCCCAGTATCTTTATTACAATTACTGCTGGTTGAATGTCTACATCTGAAATAGTGTTCCAGGTATATTTGCGCATTGTTTATGAGGTCACATGACCATACTTTCATTTCAACTATCAACATGTGATTCACAGTCAAAATAGCTCAGCTGTTTCAGCAGAGCCTTCCAATAATATGGGTATGCATAATTACGTAAACATAGTTTGGGTCACATAGCCAGTTTTTGTGAACATACATGGATTCACTTTCTTCACAGAACATCCTTTAGAATGGAAAACTATTTTTCACTATTTTTATGTAAGTGTTATGACCTGCTAACTCCTGCTAGTCATTGATCAATATACAAGTAAATACATAATCCTGTGACAAGCACAGACGCATGAAATGACCATAAACAATTGTTTTGATGGGCCTAATCAGTCTCATTATATGTTGAGTCTAAACTTAACACCTTTTTTCTGTGCATTTATTTAGAACCTGCCTAAAGCTTCATGAACTTGCTATCATATTCAGTACATGCAATGTTATATGGATTTAATTATTACTTACTTTTATTCAAAATCTGTAATGTCTCAACACTTGGAGATCCATTCTTGTGATACGGTATAACAGTAGTAAGATACTGAAACAAAAAATATCAAACTATACTATACTATAAACTACTGTAAAATATTTAATTTTAGCTGGAATGAATTTTTGCTGAATAGAGTTTTTGGGTGTTTGTATGGAATTTATTTTCACTGATTTTTGGCGAGTTGAATGTAAAATAGAGGGAAAAAGATGTATTCTCTAGATTTTATTTTCTCTAATTCATTCCTTCAGCAAAAATAACGAAAATTACTGCAAAGCGAAATAAAGCATTCCACAGTATTTCTTTCTGCATTGTATTAACTACATTGCAAATGTCCCACAGTATTTCTTTCTGCATTGTATTAACTACATTGCAAATGTCCCACTGTATTTCTTTCTGCATTGTATTAACTACATTGCAAATGTCCCACAGTATTTCTTTCTGCATTGTATTAACTACATTGCAAATGTCCCACAGTATTTCTTTCTGCATTGTATTAACTACATTGCAAATGTCCCACAGTATTTCTTTCTGCATTGTATT